TGTTTCGCGAGCATCGCCGTGTTAAAGCCACCCAAGTCTCGGATCCCCATACCGCCCTCTTCTTTTGGTCACATCAACTCCTCCCTGCTCATCCAGTGTGCCTTCCTCTCCATTCTGCGCTGGCCCCACCAAAAATTTACTATTAATCTGTTTGCTTCCGCTAGCACACCTTCCGGGATGCGGAACATATGAAACACCCTAACCCGACCGGGTACTACTTTTATTAAAATGCCCTTGATAAATAAAATACACAAATCTTAAATTGCAGTAGGAAAAATTTTCATAAATAAAATACTGAAAACACACACTTGTAGTTCAAAGCAAAGCCCTAACACGTGTGCAAACTCAATACTCAAAATCTCAAACTGATCTCAAAACAATCTCCAGTCTTTACTAAAATGCCCTTGAGTTTGCTACTGAAAACCTTGACTAAGCATCCTCCGTTACGCTTATACTGCTCTCCTCTAGCTGGCTTCCCTCGAACTCGCTGCTCACTAACTGCTCCTCTAGCTCCTCAAACTGGTGAGTGAGATGGGGTTTGTCTACGCCCTTACGTTTAAGTACTTATTACTACTTGATCACTTTACTTAACTGAGTGGGAGTTCTTTTGTACTTCCACTACTAAAAAGCTTAACTCTTAAAACTGTATGAGAGTTACTGTTACTCCACTCTTAAACCTCAAAGCTTGACTTAAATACTTGACTGACACTGGGATCCCTCACTAGCTAGTCCGATTGCCAACTCATACGTATGAGAAGCCATTCAGGCTTTCCTTAAACTTAAACTTAGTTAGGGAAGTCGTAACGATTCATCCCCCTAACATCTTAAACTTATCGTGGTGGCTCTTCACCACGATTCTCAAGGGCATAACTGCTGCCCATCTTAAAAATCTCAAGAGCATAACTGCTGCTCTATCTCAAACTGTCTCGAAAGGCAACGGACTGGCGCTAGTGACTAAAAACACTTAAAACGACTTCACCTTCTTCGAGGTGAGTTACTTCTTTAAAAGAACTCGTTTCTTAAACTTTAACAATAACTCCTAGACATCAAGCTTCAAGTAAGAAATAAACTCATCCACAATTCACTTCAAATCATAGCTCAACCATCGCACATATCATCAAACATAATCATGCAATATCAAACATGAATCAAATATTGCACGCACATCACGTAAATCAATACTTAAAAAATACTCAAAGCAAATACTTGAAAAACCGTAAGACGTAGAATTTACCCCCTTTACACTCACCTTATAACCAAGTTGGATTTAACACCAAACTAGCGGCTCGATAGTTATACCCAAGGTTTTCACCATCACTTGACACGTCTGAGCTAGCTTTGCCACTGAAAGATTACCAGAATTATGAACCATCACACTTCAAGACCACCTATTTCACTTATATATCACACATGCATGAACAGTCACTTCTCTTTTACCCAATCCATCATAAACATGCACCCACGTTCGCTAATAGAGCTATGTATAAAGTGGGCATGTGGTTACTTGATCACCGGGTATTGAAGGGGAAAAGGGGTTTTGTGAAGTTGGACTAAAAGCTGAACCACCTAGAAGTTGTTGTCAGGTGATTAGTTAGTAAGCTAAGCTCCACAATTAACTTATCCTATTTTCCCCTTTTCCAAACGTAGCAGAACCATGTCAATCATAATCATCACTATTACCTTGAATTATTAACCCGGAAACAATTAGTTCTTTTGACACAACCTAGATCCATATACGATGATTAACAACCCACGTAGCAAGCTGAAATCCCCTGCCGTGTGCTGATCACAACCAAGCAAATAACTTCAATTCTTAGAACTGTGATGATTATCAGATCATGGCTCTCATCTAAACCCTTTAAGTAATTACATTGCTTACAATTCCAAACCGTGAACTGTGGAAAAAGGCACCTACCTCAAGTTCAATTTCTCGGCCGTACCACTACCTCCATCCATTAAGCTCCACTGCCGGACTCCATCGAAAGCCTCCAAGCGCCATGAGAATTCCACTTGCGACATCGACCTCAAGCCCGACCACTACTGGCAGCTCCTGTCCGCTTGAAACCAAATAATGCCACCGCCAGCAAGCCGCCTCTTTTGTGCCTCTCGATTGATTCGGCGGCGGCTGTTGCTTTTGCAACCGCAAGAGATGCGGGAAAAGGGTTAAATGGGGAAGGGGTTTTGTGGACGTGGGAGTGGAGAGGGAAAGGGTTAGGGTTTAATTAGTGAATCCGGATGGATTCTTGGCGTTGGGGGCATGGGAAAAGGACAAGCCAATTTTTCCTTTTTTTATAATAATAATAATAGTTATTATTATTATTATTATTATTATTATTCCTAATCCGTGGTTGAATCCTTAGTACGTAACCGTTAATCCAACCGCTCATATATTAAGGTCGAACCTGATCTCAAAATTCGGGGTGTTACAACACAGACATTACATACGAAAATTGTGCCTGGGCAACAGATTTGATCAACACTTCCCTTGCGGCTACCGACAGGGTGTGTTCCTTCCATCCCTTCAGTCTCTTCCGGAGTCGGTCCATAACCTCTACAAAGAGTTCTTTTTTGGATCTCCCAGCTACCGTCGCAAGACCTAGGTATTTGTTGTGCTTCTCTACCCTTTCCATACCCAGGATTCCGCACACCATGAGCTTGTTGTGCATCTTAACATTCTCACTGAAGAAGATGAATGACTTCTGGAAGTTGACCAGCTGACCCAACTCCCTCTCGTAATCCTTCAAAATCTTCTTTAATTCCTCGATCTCCCGCTCTGTTGCCCTTGCAAAGAAGATGCTATCGTCCGGAAAGAACAGGTGTGACACAACCGGGGCCCCGCGAGCTGCTTGGAAACCATGGATCCTTTTCTCCTTCACCGCAGTGACGTATAAGAGGACAACCCTTCTACACACAATAAGAACAAATACGGTGAGAGGGGATCACCCTGTCGAAGACCCCGACTCGGGGTGATCTTCGGGGAAGGATGGTCGTTAACAAGGACAAAGTATGTGAACGGTGTCACACACTTCATTATCACTGAGATCCAGTGCTCCGTGAATCCCATCCGCCGCATCACACCTTCAAGAAAATGCCACTCAACTCTATCGTATGCTTTCGCCATATTTATCTTTGCTGCCAGGACCCCCACCTTGCTCTTCGACTTCTTTTTCATAGAATGAAAACATTCAAATGCTGCCATCACATTGTATGTGATCAGCCTTCCCGGGACGAATGCGCTCTGCTCTGGTGATATTATCTTGTCCAGAATAGTCTTCATCCGATTGGTTAACACCTTCGTCGCCAATTTGTATAATACATTACATAGACTAATTGGCCGAAAGTCCTTCGCTGAACTAGGCTCCTTCACCTTGGGAATCAACGCAATTAGTGTATAGTTCAGGTCCTGTGACAGCTCACCTCCTGCAATAACATCCCGGACAAGTTTCCACACGTTAGTGCCAATAATGATCTAGTACTTACGGTAAAACAAGGCAGAGAAACCGTCAGCTCTTGGGGCCTTCATAGTGCCCATTTGTTTTAAAGCCGCGAATACTTCCTCTCGCGTGACCTCCTTCGTAAGCTCTTCGTTTTCCTCTTCTGTGACGCTCGTCCCGATCGAGTCCAGGACTGGGCTATTCTCCGGGATATCACCTGCACAGAAAAGAGAGCTATAGTAGTTTTTTAGAACTTCGAACAGGCTCTCCTGTCCCTCGTGCCAGGTGCCAGTTTCATCCTGCAATTTCTTAAAAGTATTCCTCGTACGCCTGGCAGAGGCTTTCCGGTGAAAGAAGTTTGTATTACGATCACCCCCCTTCAACCAGTCAGCCCGCGAACGTTGTTTCCAGTGTGCTTCTTCATTTTCCTCCAACTCAGATTCGAGCTTCTTCATTTGCTCCAGTACCTGGTCCGACTTCTCCCTTCTCTCAAGCGCTCTCGTGGCTCTTCGGATGCGCTCTTTTTGCCTTGAGAATTTGGGGAAAGTTTGTCGACTCCACTCGTCCAATCGATCCCGGCAGGTAGCTAGTCTCGACGTTGGGCAGTCGCCTGAATTGGCTCCCCAGCCATCCTCGATGATCTTCGAACAGTCAGTATGGGAAGTCCACATGGGCTCAAATCGAAATGTCCAACCCCACTTCGGTTCCTCATCAGCTTCCCCCATAGTGTTACATAAGATCGGCCTATGGTCTGATCGCCTCTTGTCTAAGTGAATAACCTTGTTCGATGGGAACATTTCCTGCCAGCTTTCTGATGGCACATATCGGTCAAGTATTTCCTCAATGTAGAGACCTGCTTGACGCCTGTTTTCCCAGGTATAATTGTAGCCAAAGAAGCCTAAGTCCTGCAAACCCACTTCCGAGGGACAGTCAGTGAACTCACTCATGCGTTGGTTGTCGGCCAAATTACCTCCACTCTTCTCCTCATTGGAGAGAACTTGGTTAAAGTCCCCACCACAGATCCAGCTTCCATTCCATTGCTCAGCAAGCCTTCGGATCAGGTCCCAAGTTTGGTCCTTCTCCAAGTCGACCGACCACCCATAAATACCAGAGAATCTCCACGTTCCAATTTTTCCATCTTCAATTTTTGCATCGATATGATGAAAGGAAGCCGACATGGGAGTCAGTGTAACTTCGTCGGACCACCACAAGCTTAACCCGCCAGCTTTCCCTTCTCCAGACTAATCCGTCGGCCACACCTCACCCTGGGTAAAGCCTAGTTCACTCCTTAATTCATCATTCTCAGCTTTTGATTGCTTAGTCTCCATTAAGAAGACTAACTGCGGGGAAACGTGTCGCACTAGTGACTTCTACGACTGAACTGCACGTGTATTCCACAGCCCACGGCAGTTGTAACTCGGGATTTGTATTAATGACCCGAAGGGGATAGGTTCCCCGCACTATCATGTTTTGCAGCTCCTTGTACCTGATTATCAGTTGATTTTTTCTTGTTTAGTTTATCTTCCTTTCTCACTTCCGAACCTCCCTTCTTTGAGTGTTTCTCCGCTGTTTGCAATTGCTTTACTCCCTGGCCTTGCCCACCTTTCATATTAGCCCCTTCTTTCACCTTATGTGCGTCTTCCTGCATCTTACTTTTGCCCCATGTACTCCCCTCACTTGCCCCCTTGTTCTTCTGTAGATTCAGCGGCCCACCTCCCCCTGTCGAGACACTCGCCCCCATCACTTTGGTGGTCTCCTTGGGTGCTGCATTCTCCCCCATAGTAACTTCCTCTTGTAGTACCGAGAACTTGTTCCTATCCCCTTGATCACTCTCTCTCTGTTTCACCGGGAATTTGTGGTTGTTTATTGGGGTAATGGGCTTGTACACTCGTCGTTCTCGACGCTAAACGATCATCCACTCCCCATACACATAACCCTTCGTCCGCGATGCCGGTTGAGTTTCAGGCACAGTGTCTGGCGTAGCCTGGGTTTCCTCATTATTCATGTCCTTGCAGTCACACTGTTCGGTGGGTTTGCCATATCTCCCGCAGTCAGTACACAGATTTTTCAAGCCTTCATATTGGACGAGGTATTCTTCCCCTTCGATCTTGAATTGGGACAGTAGGGGCTTAGTAAAGTCCACCTCGACACAAACCCGGGCATATTTCCCACGTTCTCCAAATTCAGTCGCCCTGTCCACCCGAATCGGCTTCCCAATATATGATGCGATCTTCATGACCGCTTCTTTGTAATGAACTCAATAGGAAGGTTTGAGAGCTGCGCCCAGACCATCCCTGAAGTTATCTCCGACCTCCAGGGGTTAAAACCTTTGTACCAACGTGTGACCGTGAGGTATGTTTCGCCTAGGAGCCATGGACCCCCGTTCATCGCAAGCTCATAGTCATCTTGGTGTGGGAATCGCACCAAGAAGCACCCATTTTTCATGTCCGAGATTTAAAGCTCACAATGCTTCCCCCATAAGCTATTCAGCCTACGAGACAGGGGAAGGTACGCTACCCGCCTGCCCAGACCCTTTACTACCAGCGCAGATCTCCACTCCCGCCTCCAACGAATTTTTCTGCTGCCGTGAAAAGGATGGTCGGTCAGTTAGGGTTGTTCTCTTTCTCATCACACACATCGTCCTCTTCCTTTTCCACTTGGAGAATATCCTCCGTGTCCGACTCGGCCACATACCAGGCTGCCCGTAGAGTTGTTGTTCCAAACAGCCTCCCACAACTACCCCCAGCCCAAGCTGACGGGCGAGCATCTCTGCTCGTGTTGACCTCCTCTTCCATCTCCATCTCCATCTCCGTCGCATGCTGGTTACCACCCAGACCTACGCGTAATTTTTCTAGCGACAGTAATACGATTTTAGTCGAAACGGGATGTTACTATATATATAGCTTTTGTTCTGAGTGTCTGTTTGATTGAAGGAGTTGCATTTTCATAGTCCATGTTGTCTTGGTTTTGAGTAAGTGTGACCTCCCACATAATAGATATTGACATGGAGGTTGCTATTCAATACTTGTGTACTGGGTCTGTCATGTAGCTAGGTGCTGCAATTTTTGCAGCAGTATGAGTTGTTGCTTGCACATTTGTTTCCTCCCTCTTTTCTATTCTTTGTTTCCCTTTGCTGGTGGTTTTCATAACTTGTTATCTTTATGGCTTCTGTTGAATTTTCGTTGTACTATTTCTAGTTTTATTAATGCAAGCTCACTTTCCATCAACTGTATATAGATCTGTAAAAAAGAATACAGGTGTAAGAAAGAAGTACCCATCTTACAAATCACTCTACGGAAACTAAGCAGCTACTCATTATCTCTAAACTTGTAAAATCAAAAGCATGCGTCATTCTAATAAGCACCAGCATGTTTCTCTCTACCTTATAGACACACTACATTTATTCATCTCCTTTTCAGCTCAGTAAATGGAGACCCAACGTAGATTAAAGTTCAGTGGATCAAAGTAAGATAATCACGGAGGGAACATAAAACCATGCATGAAGCAAAAGTGAAGGCATTACTTGAGTCTTGATAACCCCTAGGAAGGAATAAGCCTTCAGTTTGCAGCATCATAATCCCAAGAATCTCTTCCTCAGAATCACAGTAGAACCCATGCTTCCTTTACATCGAGTGGTACCATTAGAAAAATATGGATGGCATTATTTTGGCTAGAGGAAGTATTACCATGGCAACGCTTTGGCGGCATTACTGCAATCGTTCAACACCCAAGATAAAGCCCACTGCGAGAGCTAACAAATAAGTCAAGAAAAAATCATTCTTCAAAATTCTGTTGCCGAGAGAACAATTCGTAAATTAGATCCCGTCAAAAATCATAGAACAACAGTAGACCACTGTAGGGCAGAATCGATGGCGGGAATCAGCTAGCAATAGAATTGCATGCCCATCAGGAAAGGGAAAACAGAGGGAAGAAAAAGGTTAGTAGAATTCTCGTTCCGCAAAAGCCAAAAGCCAAAATCCCAAAACAAAATGGACCAAACAAAGGAAACATACAGGTACAGGGAATATTGCTCCTGTTACGACCAATGGCGCGAGGTTCACTGGCCAGTTGCAGTGGAAGTACGGATGAATTCAAGCGGCCAACCTGTCATGCGAGACAGACGGTACGAGGCAACGGGAGATTTTCTGGGATGATTTGTGAAAAACCCGGCGATGGAAGAGTCACGGAGCGGGACGAATGACAGGAGCGGGATGGATGGAGAGAATTAATTCTGGATGGTCAGACACAGACGCCGATGGGGGTTTCAAGGAGCGTTCACCGGAATTTTGCTGCAACGTTAAGGGGGAAAAGACGGCAATAGTAGGGTATTTGCCTCTTTGGAGCGAGAATTAATTCCGAAAGGCGACAGGGGGTTTCGAGGAGAGTTCTGGGAGAAAGAATAGCGAGCAGGAAGGAGATTGGAAGATAGAGAGTGAGGAAGAGAATTACAATAAACACCTTCCGTATTGTGCGGCTTGTTGAGGAAAGCGTACATGGCAAACAATTTTTTTTTACATTGCCTTATAGTATTTTGTAGATTAAATTTGAATAAGATGAATTGAATTTGTTGAATCTTTAGTAGATGGATTGAATTGGAATAATGAATTTGAATTGAAATCATGAATTGTCACCTCTAGTTAGGACTATAACTGTAGTATTCTTGTATTGACTGCTTCGATTGGCTTTAGTATTCAGAGATTGAACAAGTGAAGCTAATGGTTCAACATTAGAGGGGTGAGATAAAAAAATATAAATTGAGTGATAAGCCTAACAAACTAACTTCGGTACATGTTACGATCGGGAGGTAGGGTTTCACACTGGTACTATAACAAATGCACTCTAAGGGGTTGTTTGGTTCATGGAGTTGGGCATTCATTATGGACTTTGAGCAAAGTTCATTGTTTTCTTCATTGAATTAGGGGAATCAAATCCATGAGATCCATGGATTTTGAGGGATCAAATTCGTGGGCAGGGCCGTCCTATGATATCCGGAGGCACTGTTCTACAATTTTAAATGTGGTCTCAAAACTTTTTTCGCAAATTTATTAAATAATAATAAAAATTAAGTAATTAAAGAAAATGATTACAAATGTATTAATATTATCTATTATTGTTGAAAAAGTATCAATCTTCTAGTATTATTTGAAATAAAAACCTCTATTAGCCCTTCCATCTTCTCTATATCTTTTGAAAAACGAAATCAAACCATCTATTTCTAAAATAGCATCAATAAGCATATCATTGGATTGTAAATGTTTACTAACCGAATTTTTTAAGTGCAATATTTCATACATGATTAAAAATTTTAACTAAAGATTAATGATTCCAAATTTTCAATCAATATTAAGTTCCCCGCTAAAGAAAAAGATAAAAGGTTAGAACTTGAAAACAAGTTCATTAGGAGCCCGGATAGTAGAGATTGCCATTGAATAGGAGTTTTAAATTCATTAAACAACTCATAACTTAGTGGTTGAGTCTCCTATTAATGAATAGGAGGTTCATGGTTCCTTTCTTTGTGGGTTTGGTGTTGTTCCGCCTGCTTTAAGAGCTATGGGACTTGCCAGTTCAAGAGGTGCCAGCTCCCCGCCCTGATGGATTATGAGGGCTCAGTGTGGGCCTCACCAGCCAAGAGGTGCCTGCTTATGGTTATGGGAGTATGAAGGCCAATTTGGATTTGCCTCCGCCTCAGGGCATATGGATTATGAGGTCCCAAAAATTGAGGTCATGTGTTGTGGGTCTGACCAACACAGGGTCTGGGTCGAGCTTGTTCGTGGGCTCCACAGACTTGCAACTTTCACCTTTTGAGGTGGAATTTGGATGATGGATTAAAATTCATGATGGTAGTTTAACCTTCTACCCTCACTTATTTTTTTAATTACAAATTGGTCCTCCTATTTTATTTCAATGGGCATGCAACTAATGTTTATTATGTCATATTTTATTTAAATATGAAGGTGTATGTTATTTGTTGGATTCAACTATAAACAATTGAATGTTGTCAAATTTTATTTAAACAAGGACAATAAGGTCAATTGTATTTCATAAACCAATTTGAAATCTTACACCGCTTTGAGTACATCTTTGTCGACTTTGATTAATTCTTCGGTGCCTTTCAATACTTGTTTGACGCTTATGAATACGTGTGCATTTATGCGGAATGTTTGTTGGAAACTTCTTAATTTTTCATTAGTGCCAAATTGTGATACATATTTTATATTTGTAGTTGAATTATTAGTCTAGAAAGTAGTGGTAACGAGTAAAATTTCTTTGCATGTATTGGATTTTTTAATGAAAATTTTGGATTATAATATAGAAATATAATTAGATGAGTGGAATATGATAATTTGCATTTAATATCCACAAATTTAATCATAAAAAATTCATAATCAAATCCACATAATCAAACAAGTGACAAACAAAAGGATGGTGTGGTGATGGTTACCTTTTTTCTCCTTCTATTGGTGTGAATAGTGTTGGAAGTTATAATACAGAATAATTAATAAATGAACAAATTATTCTAATAGAATGCATTTTTATTATGAGAGAAAATATATTTCTAATTAAACGTAACTTATTCCCTATGAAAGAGGGATTATCCTAAATTTTTGGCTTATTTAAATAGAGCAGTACCCAGACCCTCTACACACCAATTTTGGAGAGCATAAACACGAGTAAGAGTGAGATTTAGAGAGCTCTGATTTTTGCTCAAAACTGCCGAGCAATAAAAGGATGGTTGTATTATCCTGAAGATGACCGGCTGATAGTTTGTTGTGGGTTAATTGGCAGGTTTACTAATTTCCTAGTATGGAGCATTGCATTGGTATGCTTATGAAACAGTCATGAAGACCTTAAGAGAAAAACAAACTTTGGTATATGTTTACAAAGCTTCCTGCTATATTAGAAAGGGTATAAAGATGCGGATTAGAATACCCTATAAGAGTACTCCAAGACAACCAGTGGGTATGATTGAAACATCACCGGAGAAGTTGTGTTTTGGACGTCTTAGAAGTAGCTAATCCTAGCTCCATCAACTATGGAATCAACATTTATAATATTAGCAATGACAAGCAATGAAGAAAGTTGATAGAGTTGGAAGACTATGACTCACTCTTGAAATCAGAAGTGAGTCACTACACTAAGTTTCAAATCGTAGCAATACCTTAGTTATGCCCGATCTTTAAACGATTGTTGATGCTCAGAGATAGTTTCAAAACTATTCAAGTGGACGATTGTTGGTGTGAATAGCCTTGAAAGCTGATTCGAGCCAAAATGTACACATTTTACCCCTTATTTCTTATCCGTTTAGCTTAGTATTTCATCGCTCCTCGACATATTTCATGCTAGGTTGTGCTTGTTTTGATACATTTCATATCCTAGCACGTGTGGCAGGGTCGAGGTCGAATTTTGGGATAATTGGTGTAGTTTCGTGCGAGTCAAGTTTTTGGCGCCGTTGCCAGGGACCTTACGGTTTTTTATCCAAAAAAGGCCGCTTAGTGTTACTCGAGCATTTTAAATCTTGTCTTTTTGTTTTTGTTTTGTGTTTCTTGCTGTGTTTTGTTTACCCACTCTTCTCTTGGAAGGGTGGTTTGTGTTTGTTTGATTTTGTTTTTGTGTTTTGTTTGTGTAGGTTATGAATCATGGATCCCAATGGCTTCTACAATAGGTGGGGGTATCCACAACCACCCAAATGGGGGTACACCGGAGCTTCATGGAGTGAACAAGAAGGGGAAGCCAAGGATCCTGGTTCTATTAACAACCCCCCTTCCAAGAAGATCAACCATACCATTGGGGGTATGAAGAGGCTTCCCCATATCAAGAAGGTTTCCCTCCACAGGACCACAACCCGAGGAGAAATCCAAGACCATGTGCCACTCCATAACTGGAGCCAAAGAGCAAATTAGAGCTCATGGTGGAGAGATTCGCCCGGGGAACCGATCAAGGGTGTTCTAGCAAGGACCTCCCAATCACCAACCCTATCGACTCAACCTTTCTTCAGGAGGCGGAGGAGCTTCGTCGATGCATGGAGAGGCTAGGAGGGCTTGTAGAGCAAGCATGTGCCCAACTTGCTCACAATCGCCTCCCACCATTGGAAGAAAGAGAGGAAGTCGAAGAGGCGAGCCATGAGAATTTTGGAAGAACGAGCTCCGGCATGGATTTCCATCCCCTCCCTCCTCCCGGTTTGACACTAGAAGAGAAAGTGGCACGAGTTTGTGAAAGCTATCGCCTCTCATTATTGGAGGAGAAAGAGGAGGATGAAGGGGCGCTCAATGACAACCGTGTGGCGCAAGAAGAACTCACCCCGGAGAGCTCCCGTGGTGAGGATGAACAAGAAAGTTGCATTGACGATTCCCATCATCTTCTCCTTTCCGAAAGCAGCTTTGAAGAAACAGTCACGAGTGTGGAGGAGCAAGAAAATCCTTTATATAATTTTGCATGGAATCTTGCCCTCCAAACAGTGCTTAAAAACATGAACGGGAAGGAGATAGAAGAGGTCGAAGAGGAGGAAGCGAGCATTAAAGAGGAGGAAGATCTTGAGTGTTTCCAAAAGGAGGGAACTGATGAATAAGGAAGGGAGGTTGAGGAAGAAGTAGAAGGAACAAGTGAGGTCCAAGATGAAGACGAGGTCATGGTGGGTGAAGCTTCAACAAGTTACAAGTGCGACCCATTTGCGGCTCTTTTGGAGAAGGACCCATTTGCGGCTCTTTGTCAAGCCAAGGCCAAACCTTCGGCGATCCCCCTTGGTGGATGTGATGGTGGTAAATCGATGATGCATTACATGGTGTGGGGCAAAGAGAAAAGTGAAGAAGGAAAGAAGGATAAGTCTCGTGGGTGGAGCCTCAAAGCCACTCAAGTTTACGAGCCCTCAATCATGGACTCGTCCAATGCTCATGACTTGAGACATCACCTCACCGACGAGAACCACAACTTCGGCGACGGAAAAAATGGGTTATTGTTGGTGGGACTGAGCTTATTGTTGGAAGAGTTGCGTGAGATAAGACATATAGGGACTTGGAAGATAGATTAGAAAGGTTTGTCAGAGGCTAGGAGGACGCGAGGAAGGAGGAAAAGGCGAGGGTTGGTGCATTGGGTGGCCCTGAAGAAGAGGGTGAGAAAAACAAAAGAGACAAAATTGTGTTTATTTCTGTTTTTATTTGAGTTGTGTTGCCATTGCCATTGATTACACATGTTTTTACCCCTATCCTTGAGCCGTTTGATATGTTGATTCTCGCATTTTAGGCTGATTTCACGCTAGGTTGTTCTTGTTTGTGATATTTCAGGTCCTAGTACGTGAATGAAGGTTTAGGAACGAGTTCGGGGTCGATTGGACGAAGTTTGGACGTTTGG